TTAATAAAATATATCTATCAATTGTGTGTTTTAGCTTTCTTCCTGAATGGGAAGCTTTTCAACATTTGAAACATTAGTGCAGTGGTTTATGTTAAAATAAACCTTTGGGTTAAGTTGTCGCAAGCAGGTTTTTCTTGTTTCTTGTGAATTTGGTCTTAAATTTTTATTTCAAGTGGCATTAAAAAGTCTTGAATTTAAATTTCCTTATTCTGTAGGAACCCTGTAATCAAATCGTTGGGTCAGGAAATCGATACTGAATCGAATCGCCATGATGGATGTGATTTACACCCCTAATCCCTTTGCACTTTAAGATATAAAAGCCTTTTTCTGCATCTAGTATAAAATGTACTTTGACCACCTTTCCATCGGCCTGTTTGGGTTCATCATATTTTTATTTAAAAAAGCCTTTGAACATTAGTTAGTATTTTATCTGTGTGGTTTTATGGTTATTTTACTGTTTTGTTTTTACTACGTATGTTATTTTATTGTAATGTCTCATTTAAAATTTGTATACTGTTTTTATTGTACGGTTTTGTTTTAACCATGAATTTTGTAGCACTTTGAGATTTTTTTTAAATGTAAAGTGCAATACAAATAAAATGTATTATTATTATTATTATTTTTCGTTCCGATGTTCCATTTTATAAATGGAATAAAAACAGATATGAAACGCGAGCAGAGTTTAAAGTCCAGGCTTAAAGTGTTAAAGGATGATTAGATTTTGGCAACAAAAATTCAAATGAAACTTTTACCAGAAACCTGAGTAACTGAGAACCTTTGCTTTCCCATGTCTGTCTCTGTTCACCTGTGTTTCACTCGTCTGGATTTAATCCTGTTTGTTTTCATGTGTTCACCTTATTATGCCGATCAGCTGCCTCTAAGCCGTATGCAAATAGAGCAGTTATGTAATAAACCATTTACACGCAGCTAGATGCAGTAGTGCACAGAAACATTAACACCTAAATCTGTTTTACATATGGCTTTTTATTTGATCTTTTTCAGCCCAGTGGGCATGATTTCTAAACTCTGCATGGATAAAACAAGTCGTTTGGTTACGAACTCTGATTACTGATCTGCAGATTAGCGCTAAATGCTTTAATACGAGGCTCGTTTTGCCCCTTTTTTCTGTGTTTGTTAATGTCCATGAAATCTGTCTGATTACAGGAAAGGTGAAAAAATAAGAGCTAACCAGAGTCACTGAATAGAAATAGAAATAATCTAAGGGGTTTTACTTTTGTAAAAAGATAAAAACAGTTTCTTTTTGACCAGTTGACATTTTTGACCTGGTAATCCAGCAGATTGTAAACATCTATGAATCAGCATGGCCAGCAGCAGGGACAGTATGATCCTCCAGTAATTGTCAATCTTCTGAGATAAATCCTTTTTGCCTAATCTCTCCCAAATGACTCTGACTAATGGCTCACTGGAACAGAATTAACGTCCCTCTCTGCCTCCAAATGACTCTTTAAAAAACAACAACAAATCCTTACTGAACTAAATTATATGTAAAGTATTTCTCAATGAAATTATTCCTTTATATTTACATTTTTAAATATTATTTGCTTTTGATAAATTATCTTTTTTTTTATTTTCTAAAAACACGCTTAAAGCAAAAGAACTCTCGTGTTGGTCACTAAACGAACGGTAAGTCAGATTACTTCTCGGTATAAATCTCCACCTTTATTGTGACACAAAGTTATAGCGAATTGTTTCTTATTATGATACGAAATTTGCTGATATCACATTACGATGTAACCTGACTCCGC